TATATATATATATATATATATATATATATATATATATATACATTTCTCGTCCGGCATCATGCACTGCTGCCTAGTCACCAGTATTGTGTATTTACTTAACACAAACAGCAGTAGCGTCCTTAACATATATGGTAAACTTGGCTAGACTGTTGCGACGGCAACACTCGACTTGGATACACAGCCAGATGCCGTAGAGGGAGAGAGAGAAAATCGAGGCTGAATGGGTGACAATATTCTTCTCCTTTATTGCCTCCTTGATCCAAATAAGACTCGAAATAAAACTAATATAACATAGCAAACTACATGTCATTAGATCTTGTAACCAACCTGGACCTGAACATGGTTATTTGACGCTATTTGCACACTATACATCTGACAGCTAGGAACTGAAGAGCAGATAGCAACCCTTAAGAAACGTACTATCTGTGGCACATTGGACGGGAAACGAGAAAAGACAAACCGTAATGAACATCACCTGTTGCAACAATCTCAATTAAAAAGGTAAGCCTGTTGCTTGACACAGCTGTCACGTAAAGTTGCAAGAGATCTAATCTTGTCTTACAGTTCCTTCGATCCGAAGCAGTGTAGTAGTGGCAGTACTGTGTAGTAGATGCAGTTCATAAGACAGTATAAATTTCAACGAAGATCAACTCAAGATTCTTTACGGTAAGAGGAACGGATAAATTTGATTGACTATTAAACTGATGTGGTTGCATACTGGAGCCTGCCTCGTATAACAGCATCGACTGACTTTGACCAGAAAGCGTGCACTCTCGACTGGATGCTTAGGTTCAACTAGGGATCCCACTTGAACATCAGAACAGCGATATTTATTCTGCGGATGCACCCAGATTATTGAAACTACCCTCCGTATATGTAATGGGAAAAGTGAAAAACGATCTGATCAGCTGGTAGAATGAACAGAACACTTGCATTCGATCTAAGGTTCCGGGATCCATCCCCAATCGGGTCGATGGATTCACAATGGTAATAAAATTCAACCAGGTCGCAACAGAAGTCTAAAGCTTCTTGATTTTTTTTCAGTTCACGCTTCAGTGGCTCTGTACACGACGAAACTCATCGCATAATCAATTTGATTCCCCATCATTATCATATAACTGTAATCTATTGGTGTGCAAACACATGATGAATAAGTAGTGATGCTTATTTCGAGTACTTTTGATCCACATTAAACCATGTGGCCAAAAGCAAAATTTAGTACGTACAACTAACACTAAGTCTGAGGTTTTCCAAATCAAATGGCATTCTTACATAACGGGTTCGGACCGTTGGACAAATTCATCATAAAACCGCATCCATTTTGTCAATGTGAAATGGCAAACAAGCCATAATGAACAGCCGTTTGGCCCTATTGTAACTCCTCGTATTACTGAACATAACAAGCTCGTTTGACTTTACGTTTCCGTGCGACATGGTTACATAAGACTAAGTAAAATTAGAAGGCTAACCGAGTAAGCAACACACGGGAAACAGCTGATGGCGTGAACGGTTGTTAACTAACAAGGATCCTGGCCAAAAATCCTATTCTGTGAAGGATGCACAAAAAGGGACGACAGGTTAATTCCCAGCTAGTCCACTCGGATATTGTCTGCACGGCAAGAAAACAACAAACACTACAATTTCGATAAATGAATCGCTTACCGGTGTGATAATCCCCACGAGGCCCACCGGTTGATGATGAATTAACTGCCGCCGATTGGTGACCTGGAGAGTTGGAACGAATTGACCGTAGGTACGTTTGGCCTCTTCAGCGTACCACTCTAAAGCAGCCACACCAGAGGCTACTTCAGCATGAGCATCCGACAAAGTTTTACCCTATCAAATGAAGGATGAAATTCTTACAGGAAACTCCGGTTTGTGCAAATTAAACAAAGTGTAACGAAACACCAATAAGAGAAGAAAGCCAGCAGATGCCTTCTAGGTGCCAAACAGCTTCGCTGATCTTCAGCCAGCTTGACAAAACTCACTGAACATAGACTGCCGGTTCTAACAGGTTCACGTGAATGTGGGTTTCAGTCCCCCGCAACTGTTCAGCTCGCTAATGTGGTAAATAACGTAACAACACATACTCGTGTTATAATTCAAAACTTCCAATGCCGGTCGAGGAAAGCTATTGAAAAACGATAAGAGTAAGTATAAATAAGATTATATGGAACGAAATGTCTCATCTATAACAGATCAATCATAACTTCGGCAAGCAAAAAAGCTATTTGACGGAACGGTCCATTAGAAGAAATGTATGGTCTGTAGTAATAATTTTCAGAACACTTGTTCTCTCCCGGAGGTCTTATTCATTTTTGAACATTGTACGAAACCGCCAATAGCATTCATTTGCTCACTCCAACCATGCCACTCATAAATGTGAGTCGTACCTCACAACACCAGGAGCATAGCGATGGGTCATTCGACATCTCAACTCGTAATTTTTTTATTTTCACCCAGTACAACATGCCCCATAGAATATTTATTAGGAAATAATCACCATCATCATCGTACAGCGAAATACAGTGAGGTAAACTTCATTGACCGCTGCCACACTCACAATGCATACAAGGTTTGTGGTAAAATTTAAGGTGGACAGGGATTGAATCTATTTTGAGGGAAGGGTAAGAAGGTGAACCTCTATGGTCAACAAACAGAGAGTGCACAATCGAACTCCGCATACAAACGGTTTTAAGAATTCTGACCTGATAAGCAACGACAACAAGAANAACGCCACTGCTGCCGGAAATGTAACAAGCTCTATTCGTTGGGCCGTTGAAAACCCAAGACACTTTGTTGGATCAAAATCGCTTCATAGTCCCAAGGTGTTACTATGGGCTGGTATCGTGCACGGCAAGATTGTCAGGCTATACTTTTTCAACGGAAACGTAACAGGTAAGAACAATTTTGCTCATTAAATTGTCACATTTCCGTTCAAGTGTGAAATGGTTAGGCGCTTCATACTTGCAAATGTTACAAGACAATGTGGTATCTACCATCCGGCGTATAGAAGTAGGTACTACAGTTTGGTTCCAACATAACGGTGCACCGCCACACAATGCTCTGGTGGTGAGAAGTTTCCTCAACTCGGAATTTAACTGCAGATGGATTGGCCGAGGAGGACCAAAGGAATGGCCTCCAAGATCACCTGAACTGTCCCTCCTGGATTTCTTTCTGTGAGGATATCTAAAGCGAACAGTTTATTCCNCAGTATTGTGGCGCAAGGCGAAAGTATTCCAACTGCTACCATTCTGATGGTGGAAAAAAACTACTTTCACCCGATTTTACCATGCAAGCAGCAGAATGGAAAACACATAGGACAACTTTTATGATATGAACATAATTTTTCCGTAATATTTGTTCTTTCTTTCTTTCGGAATTCTATTTCCAACATAGTTAGCGAGATCGTTCAACGCAAAAACAACCAGTTGGGAAAAAAACAAGATTTTTGCGTGCGCCTAGATTAGAGGATATTGTAACCCGTACGTAAGACAAAGTCAGTTTTATTATGATTATCTGTTTACCCAACCCGCTTCGAAAAATAGTGCGTGTATCGTAGACGAGTCAAGCGCTGACCCAGTATCATCATTGCTTGAGCATTTTCCATTCCGAAATTCCCACATGAGCACCGCTCCACAACTGATCCTCTTGTGGTGATTCTCTACCAACACAGGCTGCATCGGATTCGGAACCTATCCTCCTCCTGAGCCGGACCTGGTGCTTGCCCGGCAAACCCGAGCGAGAAACCACACCTTTTTTACAGCTGTGAGTCTTAAGCAGGCCCAGTGAACTTCGACTATACAGCAGGACTGCCATCAGCACACGGATGGAATGGACGTAACAACAAGAGCATTACAAAACGTACAAGCCGGTAATCAGACAGT